TACCCTAATGCAACCCACCCTACCCCCCCACCCCCTTCCTGAACATAATTGTTGAAATGCCTCAAAAAATTAGTCTCTGAGCATCCAAATACACAGCCATGTCCCATTGAAGTTCATTCATTCAAGAATGTTTTGGGCATTCTAATTGGTTTCGATCTTCTTTTTACTAATGTTTCTATTGTAATGTGTTTTGTTGCCAGATAGTGAAAGTATATGAATTTTTGGTTGTTTCTGTGCACGAGTTATAAATGTTGAATTGTTTTTTGAAGATCAGATTGTTGATGAACCTAATGAATCCCCTCACTAAGAATCGTTCTTCTTTCAAGTTTAAGAACAAAATGGTAAGACTATATGTTATGCATTTTTTGTTGCCCTGGTTTTTTCGTATTGTTTCATCGTTACTCTTATGTCTTGATTTTCCATTAGTACAGTTGTCATTAGTTTTAGGAATCATCACAGACTAATTTTCTAGCAGTTAAATACTCCTCTACATTTATGGAAGATTATGACCAACGATGGCTTATGGGTTTCTGTGTTTGTTGTGGATTTTTCCCTATACATGGGTGTGTTTCACTTCTTCAAGTTGCATTATGACTACTCTTTTAGGTGTCATGTAACCTTTGATTTTGATTGCAGAAATAGGGATGATAATCTCATAAACACCTTGACATAGGTCGTAGTCAAGTTGGTATGTTGGACTTCTATTTTTTAGTGGTGCCACAATTTTGATGTGAATTGCACCATCACAGTGGATCCTTTGTGTGACTATTGGTGAGATATTAAATTTAATTGTTGCCACAAGATTAGTTTAGTTAGAATTCTAGATATCAATATTAGTTGGGATTGTCAACTACTTTGGGGTGCTATGTTATTTTAGATTATCTTTTTATTTGACAACTGGGTTTGATATGCTATGCAACATAATTGGGAGTATGGAAAATTGTTTTTTAAACTTATTTCATATGGTTTTTTGGAGGGGGGTGTCAAGGTTTCTTTTATATGTTTTTTTTAATCAAACTTCTTTCATATGTTGGATGGGATGATTTTGAGCATATATTTTACTTCTAGTTTAGTAATTTTATGGATGTAAATTATGGATGAATGAATAATTTGTATTAAAAGTGGGGTTTTATTTGGATTAGATAGGCTGAAGATACAATTAGACATTTTAACAGGTCATGTCCTTCGTGTTGACTATGTTATGGGAGTCGTTACAGCCCAATTGTGACCCATGTTCTAACATGATCTGGTTGATACCAGGTTGTGTCAACCTGGCTACGATTTGTTTATTAATTACATGGATTTTTTTATTATTGGTGTTATACGTGAATTGTATTCATGTCAGGTCATTTAACACGATTAACTAGATAGGTCGTGTTAGGGTTGAGAGATTTTTGACATAAATCTGAAATAACACAAACACAGTTCGATAGTCATCCTTACTTGAGGCATTGCAAGTGTTTAATTTTTTGAATGGATTTGCAATTTTATCAATGATTGTTTTTTTGTTATATAGTGCATTTAGGCAAGGGTAATTGCTAATATATATAATATCACAAAGATACAAACTCTACTCACTTATTAATACATATATATAGTATCACAAACCCTACAAACCCACTTTTTCTTTACCAACAAAAAAATAAAACACTTTCTCTCTCTCTCTCTCTCTCTCTCTCTCTCTCTCTCTCTAATGTGTTTACTTTACTTTGGTGAGTTTTTATACTTCATCCATTTATGAGGTTTTATGATTTTTTTTCTTATAATCATAGAAATTAATTATCATGGGTGAGGACGATGGCGGGGACGGGGATAAGGATCAAAATTTACTTGCGGGGCATACTTGTCACTTGTTGATGAATCATTTTTCCTTGAGATATAACAATAGGCTTCCCAAGCGTCAGAAAATTTTGCAGTGTAGTAACTTGAATAAATCTCAAGTCGTCTCTTTAGGGACAAACGCAATTTGATTGGTGATTTGTTCAAAATAAAGTAAAAAACCTTTGGTTTGTGAAAAAATAGTGGAATGAGTTTTAATGTATTGAAATCAATAAGAAAACAATTGGCCAATTCTCAGGAATTATCTTGTTGAGATCAAGCTTATTGACCCTTGTTTATAACTCATCCAAACTCATAATCAAATGGATTCGGATGGAAAATATTCAATAAACACCCAAGATGGAAGGTGTGTAACTTTTAAGATAGGCAATAGAATCTCTGATAATAAATATGTAGATGTAAATCTATACTTTAAGCATTAATCGTGTCAAAGATCTATCGATGACTAATCAAAATGCATAGATAAACACTAGTTTTCAAAAGTAATTTTTACCATCCAAAAGGCATACTACGTGGTAAGAATGTTAGAGGATCAACAAGGCTTAATCACAAATAAAAATCATCCCCCAGATCGTGTTGAACCTTAGCCAAAAATCAAACCTATCAAGTTGAATGCACTGTAAAACAACATGTAAAAATAATGAAAATAAACAAGATAGAAAGAAACAACCACCAATGGATTAGCTTCGATAGACTATGTTCAAACACAAAGAAAACCATTCAAGAAAAGCTTTTGAACATGAAAAGAGAACTCTTCCGATGTCATCTCCGTAACACGGCAATTCAAAAGCTTAAGCAAAACTTAAAAACTACCACTCCAAATCTTAGCAAAAAAATCTCCTCTATGTGTAAGTGTATATATATATCATCTTCATTCCTTCTTCCCATTGGCTAAAATAAGAGGCTTGGGTGGTGGAAGCTTCCCCAAAGAATTTTCCTCCGCCGGTTTTAACCAATGAATATGCTTGCTTTGTTGTTGGGAGGTGAAGTCGTCCAATGGGAGTGCTTGCTTAGGAGTTAGGAGCCGCCCATCAAGTGTGCAAGTGGGTGGAAGTAACTTCATGGCGAATAAATGGAAACCCAGGAGTTCGTAACCGACTTAGTGTGTAGAACCTGTGTAAAATCGGTTCTAAGCTTTCTGGCCTTCGTAGAACTTGTTGAGAACCGGTTCTAACCTTTTTATCTTTCCTAGAACCTGTTGAAAATCGGTTCTAGGCCTTTTGTTCTCCGTAGAACCGGTTCTAGCAGCTGTTTTCCATTTCTAAAATGCTCCTCTTCATCTCCTTTGCACCTACGAATACAGACACAACAATTAATCTAAACTTCACATAATTTCAATATATTAAACATCAAACAACAACACAAAATGGATGAATTACTCATCAATTATGCAACTCTACACTCTTAACATACCCCCAATTTGAACTTTGCTAGTCCCTAGGAAAAAAAACTTAGAAGAATATGCATCCCCTCATTCATCCATCTTATACACCATTACATAAAACAAGTATAACAAGCACACAACAAAATTGAAAGACAATTAACAAAAACTATAAAGATTGATATATATATATATATATATATATATATANACCTTTGGTTTGTGAAAAAATAGTGGAATGAGTTTTAATGTATTGAAATCAATAAGAAAACAATTGGCCAATTCTCAGGAATTATCTTGTTGAGATCAAGCTTATTGACCCTTGTTTATAACTCATCCAAACTCATAATCAAATGGATTCGGATGGAAAATATTCAATAAACACCCAAGATGGAAGGTGTGTAACTTTTAAGATAGGCAATAGAATCTCTGATAATAAATATGTAGATGTAAATCTATACTTTAAGCATTAATCGTGTCAAAGATCTATCGATGACTAATCAAAATGCATAGATAAACACTAGTTTTCAAAAGTAATTTTTACCATCCAAAAGGCATACTACGTGGTAAGAATGTTAGAGGATCAACAAGGCTTAATCACAAATAAAAATCATCCCCCAGATCGTGTTGAACCTTAGCCAAAAATCAAACCTATCAAGTTGAATGCACTGTAAAACAACATGTAAAAATAATGAAAATAAACAAGATAGAAAGAAACAACCACCAATGGATTAGCTTCGATAGACTATGTTCAAACACAAAGAAAACCATTCAAGAAAAGCTTTTGAACATGAAAAGAGAACTCTTCCGATGTCATCTCCGTAACACGGCAATTCAAAAGCTTAAGCAAAACTTAAAAACTACCACTCCAAATCTTAGCAAAAAAATCTCCTCTATGTGTAAGTGTATATATATATCATCTTCATTCCTTCTTCCCATTGGCTAAAATAAGAGGCTTGGGTGGTGGAAGCTTCCCCAAAGAATTTTCCTCCGCCGGTTTTAACCAATGAATATGCTTGCTTTGTTGTTGGGAGGTGAAGTCGTCCAATGGGAGTGCTTGCTTAGGAGTTAGGAGCCGCCCATCAAGTGTGCAAGTGGGTGGAAGTAACTTCATGGCGAATAAATGGAAACCCAGGAGTTCGTAACCGACTTAGTGTGTAGAACCTGTGTAAAATCGGTTCTAAGCTTTCTGGCCTTCGTAGAACTTGTTGAGAACCGGTTCTAACCTTTTTATCTTTCCTAGAACCTGTTGAAAATCGGTTCTAGGCCTTTTGTTCTCCGTAGAACCGGTTCTAGCAGCTGTTTTCCATTTCTAAAATGCTCCTCTTCATCTCCTTTGCACCTACGAATACAGACACAACAATTAATCTAAACTTCACATAATTTCAATATATTAAACATCAAACAACAACACAAAATGGATGAATTACTCATCAATTATGCAACTCTACACTCTTAACATACCCCCAATTTGAACTTTGCTAGTCCCTAGGAAAAAAAACTTAGAAGAATATGCATCCCCTCATTCATCCATCTTATACACCATTACATAAAACAAGTATAACAAGCACACAACAAAATTGAAAGACAATTAACAAAAACTATAAAGATTGATATATATATATATATATATATATATATATACTGGTAGTGGGTACAAAAGGTCAAAAAAGTTACAAACCCAAGATGAAACTGAAAGTTTTCTATCCTAAGTCATTACAACCCAACTAACCAATTTCCCAAAACATAAAAACTAATAAGGACATCCCATACATGCCAACTAATCAGAAGAAGAATCCTCCTCCTCCTCATCTGGCCCAAACTCCTCTTCCTCCTCTAACTCACTACTGTCCATCTCTTGAACCACATATCTAGGCTCAGAGACAAACGCAAGGGTGGTACTGAAGAAGGTGGAGCAGCTGTCCCAGAAGTAGTAGCTCCAGCTGTGGCGGTGGGTGGAGTAATGCTGGGTGGAGTCTCCCTAGGGTTAAGATCTCAAATAACCTTTGCATCCTCAATAGCAGATCAATATCTCTAGCCATCTTTTGTTGTATTCCCTTAGACTCAATCTTCTCGGCTTCCAAGTCACTCATTCTTTGCTCTATCCTGATCATTCTTTATGTAAATGAAGCTCTAGAAGTAGGTGGAAGACAAGTAGCTTCAGTATGCAAAAATGCCAGAAAATTCGGAAGTTTCTCCACTTGGACATTGTGAAGCTCTTCTTTCCCCCCCCCCAAGCATTGATTGGTCCCTTCTTCGGTGCGCTCTCCTGATTTGTCGATGTCTTTTTCACACCAGCTTTGATACACATCTCCGTGACCATGTATGCAAAGGGTATATTTCCCTGTGATTTACTAGCTAAAACATACTCTTTAATCACTCCCGTGATCAATAAGGCTACATCCATCCTCGAGCCCTCCATATATTCGTCAATAATATAATCTTGGGCAACATCAGTTTCTTCTCATTTCCCTTTGGGTATACAATATAATGTATAATCTTATTCAATGTCCTATAATTCGCCAACATACAACCTTGCACAAATTTCCCATCAAACTGCTCAAATGTCTCATACATCTCCTTGGCATAATCACCCAATGCCTTTGACTGAACTTCCGGATAAGTATAATCAACCTCATTGTGTTGATGTCTCATATATGGTATCCGACGTCACTTCAATGACTTTTCCATGAACTTTAGTTTTCAATTTCAACCCATCATCACTTACCACCACCATAGCACTATAAAACTCTCGATAGGAATTGAGAATATATCTAGATACAGGCTTAAAGAAGAATTCCAAACCTTGATTCACAATTTGCTGCATTGGTCTGCTTCTCCCGAGGCTCGCACTATCCACCATTCTCTAGCATATTAACCCCTTGATGCTATAGTAGACTCATAGACAATCCTTTGTTTCTTCCTAGCAGCAGTCTCCTTCTTGCCATCACCCTCTCTAGCTCTTCCTTTTTCCTTTTTCTTATTCTTGCCTAGTGGCTTTAGGCTTAGAGGTAGATGCTGAAGCCTCCTTCGATACCGAAGCCAAGCCCCCTAAAGTCCTCAATCACAAACACACCTATGATCATGAATGAAGCAAGACACAACCATAGCCAAGAAAATTCATCTTTTGAACTAGGATTAAATCCCTTCTAGTCTCCATTCGAAAAACCTGGGGTTTAGGGGTTAACTTTGGGGGAAATTTTCGGGTGAGATAGGTCGATGATTTGAAGGAAGGTTTTGATGATTGAGGGAGTGGATAGGTATTTTCAGCACTAGAGGGAAGAAGTGGGGGCTTGGGTGTTCAAGAATTAGACAAGAATGAACAAAAACCATCAATCTTCCCTTTTTAAAACATCGGTCAACCACTACAACGTAGAACCGATACCACGTTCTCTGCCGCCGTCTAGAACCGGTACTAGGACCTTTTTTCAATTGTTTCATTTTTCCCAATTTTGTCATTTCTTTTCTTTATTTTAATGACTCTAAAGCCTACTAATTCCTAATTTCATGCCTAAGACACCCTAGTTATTTAATGACATCAACATGTTAATTTAAAACATACTCAACATGCAATGAAACTAGAAAATATCCAAAAAAATAAAAAGGAATGCTAAATTTTCGTAGGATTGCGTGGTTGCATTTAGCAAATGCAATAAGCCTTTAAATCTTTAGGTCACTCCTAGTAGACAAGTTGTGTCTCATGAAGGCTTTCAATGAAGGTACCTATAAACTTCTGTTGGGTTTCTTTTGTGGAGTCTAGTTTGTGTGTGATCCGAATGATGACCCGACCTGAAATAATGTTGCGAGATTTTTAATAGAAATTTTCTGAGACTTAGTCCATGGAGCAGATGTTTGGGCCGATAAGAAATATATAAATTGTTATTCACGTAGGACATATATAAACTTGGACTAATATATAAACTGTTATTCTGTGTGGAGTCTAGTATGGGCCCGTTTTGTAGTCCTATGTGCAGGACATATATAAACTGTTATTCGGTGATTAGGGTGTTTTGGATTTGATTTTGTACAGCCGCCGCCCTCTCTGTATTCTTTCTTGAGAATAGTGAAATCCCTGCAACTTCGTGGACATAGTCAAATTGCTGAACCACGTAAATTCTGTGTTGTGTGATTGTTTTGATTGCATTCTTATCATTCTTTTCATTAATTTCACTTTATTGTCATCGTTTGATTTCACAAAAATTTCATTGTGATATTCCCATTTAAATCATAGTACAACCTTCTAACTAACCATTATATATACTAACCATTCTTCCTTTCACTTTTAAGTCATTTTCACACCACTACATTACAAATTTAAATGCTATGGAAAAGTTTTCACGTACATATATCCATTAGAGACTCGTGTGTGTGTGTGTGCGTGCGTGTGTATAATGACAATGCAATTTAAGAAATTTATCAAATAAAAACCCACATCTATAGTAGCTATCCAAAATTAGCTTCAATGCAAATCTCACCAAGGATTTTCTCTCGCAACATATACACTCTGATTACACTAACGTTTCACTCATTGTTCATAATTGAGGCAAATGCTTGTAATTCAAAGCAAAAAATAGCCCACATATATTCTAGAAATGAAATACAATTATGAAAATCAAATGACCTTGGCATAATCTCATGACAGGAATGTTAGGCAAATGAAAATAATATTGTTAATCCATCTCTTTCTTGATTTAGAATATACACTCGACATGATTTTCGAGATCAAAAAGGACTTTAATTGGATGTAATGTGGCCTTAGGTGAAAGTTTGGCTAAAGACATGAAGGGCTATCAGAATTCAAAAAGGAGTTATCCCGAGAATATGACTTAGCCTCACCTCCTCTTTCAAAATCAATTAACATACTATTTCATTTTTCTTTTTCTTTTTTTCCTTTTTTCATTTCATATCACTTTTCTTATTTCCTCTCTTCTTTTTTAGCTTTCTTTATTGTTGCTTTCTATAAATATCAACACTATGCTCAAACATTCATCATCCTTTTCCTTTTATTCCTCTTTACTTTTTCTGATATTTCTTTTCTTTGAACCACAGCAATCCCTATTTTTTTTTCAATATAGCATTCTCAATCCCAGAAGAACCAAGGTATGATAAATATTTATATGCACGACTTGGTTAAATATGTGGCTTAAAGAAATGAAATTTACATTCAAGCTGAATTATGGCTTCTAAGGATGATGTTAAGAAAGAATAGGCTATGGCTCAAATTAATCTAGAAATGGCCTAAGATCATTTCTCAAGAATACATGGCAAGGTATTTATGCATTGAGATATAATCAACTAACTATCCCATTTACACTAACCAAAATAAAAGTAATGAGATTATTAAACGAAATTGAATTTGAAAGAACAATCTTTTGAGTAAATGTATTACGTCCCTCCAACAAAGAATAACACAAAATCTCACACGGATAATATATTCATCTCTACTATGTATATCAAGCATTTAAGATGTGAATTGTATTCAATAAATTGCAAAAATTTACATGTTCATGGTGCATATAAGGTGAGTTTCCCATGAAAACATGTACATGATACTTAATCATAGAATAAACTCCTCTAATGTGTGAGTTTGCAAATACCTTCAAGATTCAAGTCAAATAATCACCAGTCTCATGCTAATGAAAAGGGAATAATACAATCGAAATAGGATGCTCTATTTTCTTTTTCTTTCTTTTCCATTTTTTTTTCAAAATTTTGCAATTTTTCATTATTTTTCACAAACAACATGGTGGTGTAACATAGTAATGGTGCACCCTTACCGCCCAACTTAAACATGCAATGAGAAAATAAACATACTAAGGATAAGAAAACACCTGACATTGCTTCTATAAAGAGAAACCATCATCTGCAAGGCAAAACAATTATACAAAAAAAAAGTAAGTACAATACAAAAGAAAATGAAAGCTACCAACCATACACTATTGTCATTGAAAGAAATCACTCAGTATCAAAACCCCAATATACAGGATCAACCAATTCCTCCACAACCTCCATTTTTGAATTTTTTTCCAAAAATGGCTTAAGTCGCTATCTATTTACTTTAAAATTTTGACCATTCTTAGGATTCTGAATGTCCACAGCCCCATTAGGATAAACAACACACAAACTATGTAAAGGCTAGTCCATCTTGACATTAACTTTTCTTCAAATATGTGAAGGCGAGAATTGTACAACAGTACTTTCTGACCTGACTCAAAGTTCTTTCTTACTATTAATTTACCATGAAAGTTTTTAACCTTTTCTTTATAAATTCTAGTACTGTCATATGCATACTAACATATTTCCTCTAATTCATTCAACTGCAATTTTTTATGCTCACTAGCTGGACCTAAGCTATAATTCAATGACTTTATGGCCCAAATATGCTCAATGTTCAATCTTTGCTGAAAAATAACAGGTCTTGCCATAGATTAACCTATAGGGCGATATTCCTAAGTGAGTCTTGTATGTTATATGATAGGCCCATAAAGCATCAGTCAATCGAATTGACTAATCCTTACAGTTAGGGTTTACCGTCTTTTCCAATATGTATTTAATTTTCCCTTTAGACAATTTAGTTTGGCCATTTGTTTGTGGGTGATAGGCAATGGACATTTTATGCATGATACCATATTTATGCGTTAAAGTTCCAAATGGTCTATTCTAGAATTGTGAACCACCATCATTGTTGATCACTTTAGGCATACCAAACCTAGACAAAAATGTCTTCCTTACGAAATCTGATAACAACTTTATGGTCATTAGTCCTAGTTGGTATAGCCTTTACCCACTTAGACACATAATCTACTGCTAGTAAACTATAGAGGTTATCAAAAGATGAGGGGAAAGCCCCAAGAAATCAATACCCAACAGTCAAAGATTTTAATCCCCAGAATGGGAGTAGAGTGCATCATATTCCTTCAAGTCATTGAACCTAACCTTTGGCACTTGTCACAACTTTTGCAATAATGGAAACAATCTTTGAATAGGGTAGGCCAATAGAAGCCGCCCTACAAGATCTTCACACGAGTCTTCTTTGATAAGAAATGACCTTAACACACTTCTGAATGGAAAAAAGAGATGGCATTATGTTGTTCATCATCAAGTACACATTCGCATAACATAATTAGCACAATATTTGAATAAGTAAGGGTCATCAAAATTAAATTTATTCACTTCTATCAAAAATTGCTTTTTATCTTGTGGATTCCAATGAGATAATATTTGTCCTGTGACAAAAAAATTAACAATGTCAGCATACTTAGGACAAAATGTATTAACAAAAAATAAATATTCATCAAAAAAAGTATCTTAAATGGACAAATGCTCCTATGTGTCTTGAAACACTGGCCGAGATAGGTGATGTGCAACCTCATCCTCAACTTCTTTTTTATCTTTAATGATCAAGTGAAATTATTGTAGGAGGAGGATCCACCTAATGATTCGCAGTTTGGCATCCTACTTAGACAATAGATACTTCAACGTAGAGTAATCAGTATATACAATAATAAGTGAACCAGTGATATAAGATCTAAATTTATCTAGTGCAAAGACAACAACTATCAATTCATTTTTCCTAGCTGTGTAATTCATTTGTGCTTCATTTAGGGTTTTGCTAGCATAATAAATGACATGTGATTTCTGATCTTGCCTTTGGCCTAATACAACTCCCACTGCAAAGTCACTTGCATCACACATAAGTTCAAATGAGAGATCTTAATTTGGTGGTTACATGATTGCAGGCAAAATTAACATATTTTTAAGTTTTTGAAAATCAGCCTTACAATTAGGTGACCACACAAATTGAGCATCTTTTGCTAAAAGATTACACCAAGGGCGAGATATAACACTAAACCCCTTTATGAATTGTCTGTAAAATCCAACATGACCAAGAAACAAATGCACATCTTTTATCATTTTCGGGGTAGATAGATTGGAGATTAACTCAACTTTTGCTCTATCAACCTCTATCCCCTTTGTAGAAGAAATATTTCCCAACAATATTCCTTTAGTTATCATAAAATAACATGTTTCCCAATTCAATACCATATTCTGCTCTTCACATCTCACTAACACCTTCTCTAAATTCTCCAAACAGTCTTCAAATGAAT